GTAATTATAGTAGAACTTGACAAGCAATACTCTACATTTTCTATAAGCATCTTATTAATGTATTTGATTTTTAAAATTTTATGTGTATGAGCCTGTATGTATCTAAGTGCACTTGTGGTATACAGTGCCCATATAGAGACCAGAAGAGGGCATTGGATTCCCTGGAACTAGAGTTACTGATGTTTGTTGCCATGTGAGTGCCGGGGACTGATGTGTGTGCTAGGAATTGAACTCAGATCCTCTGGGAAAAACAGCAAGTGCTTTTAATGTCTGAGCCATCTTTCCAGCCCACGAACAATTTTTTAAATGCTGGACTGAATTATCAGTATGTTTCATTCTTAATTGGCTGAAGTTCCTTCACTTAGTTTTGTTGTAACTGAAATAAATAATCTTCATAATATTGAGTGGATTTAAGAGCTTAAGAGTGAGAGTATTTGAAATGAAACCTCTACTTATATGGACTAACATAGTTTTGGGTTTTTTTTTTTTCTTTCTCTTTCTGTGAGATTTACAAGCAGGATTGAAATGTCCTGCACTGGCTGTTTTTGAGAATCCTATCTACTCTCAAAACACTGAGAAATTCTAATCCTGTGCTAAGCCATTCCTGACATTACCATTGTAATTCATCTCTTTCCTCTTGTTTTAGTTTCAATTCAGATATTTGAGTTTCCTTTTTTTCCAGGGTAACTTGTTGATCTTTCCTGACTCTTAGACCATAGGCCCCTAAAAGATATCTTTTTCTCTATGCCTTATGATGCCTTACATGAAGAATTTATACTAACATTTGTTGAATTAGGATAAAGAGAATTAACAGTCAACCCTTATTTTTTTTTTTTTTTTTAATTTATTTTCCGGGAGTAATAAAGACACTAAAAGTGTTCCTTGGGAGAGAAAAGAAGAGGAAGAACCCCTCTGAGGCTTCCCATATACAATAATAGCATTGTCTTACATTCTTGCTTCAGAAGGTTCCTCTCTCTTTTACAAGTGAATTTTTAATTTAAAAAATTTTATTTATTATGTTTTATTATTTTTATGTTACGTGTATGAGTGTATTGCCTGCATGGGCGTAAATGCACCTGTGTCATGCAATGCCTGTGGAGGTCAGAAGATGTTGGATCCCCTGAAACTGGAGTTATGGACAGTTGTTAGCCACCATGTGGGTGCTGGGAATTGAACCCTGGTCCTCTGCAATCCGTTCTCTTAACTGCTGAGCCATCTCTCCAGTCCGCAAAATTTTAATTTTTATGTTTAAGTAAAAAAATAATTTTAAAAATCAAACCAGGAAGTTCCATAGAATTCTATTTTTTTTTTTTTGGTCTTTTTTTTTTTTTTGAGACAGGGTCTCCCTGTAGCCCTAGCTGGCCTGGATTCACTATGGAGACCAGGCTGGCCTCGAACTCACAGAGATCCGCCTGCCTCTGCCTCCTGAGTGCTGGGAGTAAAGGCGTGCACCACCACGCCAGGCCAAAATTCTATTTTTAAAACAAATGAATTCCTAATTTGAATAAATAAGCTATCTGTGATTTTTAGAAAGATCTTCCTAATAGTAGAATTTGTGCATTTGTTGTTCAAGGCAGTATGTGATAAGAAACTTTGCTTCATTTATGAAAGCCAGAAAAATCTACATTTTGGAGAACCTGAGTCTTTTGCTTAATTCTAGAGGAAATGGGAACGCTTGAATAAAGGTCCTTAAAAGTCACAACCTAACAGCTCGACAGGTGGAAAAACTCCAAGGAAAGCAAAAGGCAGTGGCCCAGAATAATCCCTCGAAATACCTCTGCAGTACTGGCTATCTCCAGATTTCCTCTTAAGTAGGTTTCTAAGGTCATTCATTTGCACTAAGATATGATAAGATAGTCCCTGCTGTATTTCACAGAGCGTTTTCGCTTCTCTCCCTCTCTGCATTACATCCAGAGAGACTTTTCTTCTTGCTTTAGATGACGCTGTTCTCCAAAGCTAAAGCTGTGTGGAAAGTGGCCACCTAACATCATGCACAAGCTGACAGGGCATCACAGCTGTCAATCTCTCACCCCTGCTCTTTGTCAAAATGACAAAGAGCCAGTAGTCACACGTCTGCAGAACTGCCCTGGGTTATGGAGAAGACAGAACTGAATGACAGGATGAGCTGTTTGTGTATTTTAGCATTTATACAACTGTTCAAAGGAGTTTGAGATTAAAGATCACTTAAACCAAAAGTATAGTGCTGGGCTGGGGCGTGGCTCTGTGGCAGAGTGCTTGCCAAGCACGCACAAGGCCCTTGATTTCATTCCCAGCTTCCCTAGAACAAAGGCATAGGCTGAAGGTGAGTTTTTATACTATTGAGAGTGAGAATGAGACTCCAAATCCTCATGTCCTAAAGCAATCAGTCGGACCGCTTAAGACAACAATATTCAATGACTATTTTGCCCGTGAAGAAGGACAATAATGAGTCTTAATGACAGTATTTTTTAAAAAGAATATTTCTAATGCTGCTTCATCTTTCCCAAGGGATTTCTTTCAAAATTTATAAACCACTTACAATGTATACTGTACATTGTTCTAAACTTTTATAAATACCTTTTAATTCTCTTGACAACCCTGTAAGATACTATTTAAGGATAAGGAAAAAGAACATAAATGCTTTATCCAAATTCATCCAACAAGGAAGTAACAAAGCCAGGGGTTGTCTTTTTTATTTATTTATTTATTTGTTAGTTAGTTATGTGCATGAGTGTTTTCCCTGCATGTATGTAAGTACACCCATGTCATGCCTGAGGAGGTCAAAAGAGGACATCAGATTGCCTGGAACTGCAGTTACAGATAGTTGTTAGCCACCATGTGAGTGCTGGGAACCATACTCAGGTCCTCTGCAAGAGCAACCAGTGCTCTTAACTGCCGAGTCATCTCTCCATACACTCCCTGCTCTTTTTTAAAAAAAACAACAAAAGATCCCCCCAAAACAGGGTCTTGTTATATAGCTCAGGCTGGCCTGAACTCTTGATCCTCCTGTCTCTACCTCAGGAGTACTGGGATCATAGGCATTCACCACCACATCTTGCTAGGTCTAAAAGTCTAACTTAATAACCTCAAAGGTTCTGTTTAAGCAGCTGCCTCAACTGTCAAGACTCCAGTTATTCATGGTGACTCTGGTTTCTTCTGTGATGCTCTGTCCCAGGCAACTTGTTAAACAGAATCATACTGAGGAAGGCCTCTTTGTAGTTACCGGAATGTAAATTTTACTTGTTTACTTTCCATTTTCAGAATCAACCAGTAGACAGAACAAAGGTAATGGCTGCAAAATAGAAAGTAAATATGATCAGTCCTGACAAAGTGAAAGCCAACACACAGAACATGGAAACCTGGGACTAGAAATGGACAACTGAGGAAAAGAAGGCATTATCTTCTTTCTTCAAAATAGAAAGCCAACAGTTGTAGCCTATAATTGCTTGAGCAAGACATAAAAGGTAAAAGTATGTTTCCTAAAGTTACAAATGAAACCTAACAGAAGTAGCAAAGAGAGCCATCTAATTACTTTGGGATGCTGGGAGGAAGATGAGAAACAAGCCAGCCACATCCCCAACTGTCACAGGGAAAAATTCCCGTATCAATGTTTATAGTTGATAAATCAGGAAACGAACTGTTGGAAGCCTTTATCACAGACGTGGCGGTCAACCACGCAACAGACACAGGCTACCATAGATGAACTGAGTAAGAATAGAGTTATCATCTGCAGAACCACTTTAAACCAGAGGGATCATCTGGGGAACCATTTTAAACCAGAAAGATCCATGCTTTGAATTCATACATTCATTACTTCAAAAAACACTAATATGTTAGACCCTCTAGTTCTAAACTCCAGACCTCAGAGCCAGCTGTGGAAAACTTCTATCCTGTCCTGAGAGAAAAACCACCAGAAACACCTCCTTTTACCCAGTCTGGAAAAGTTTCTGAATGTTCCTTCCTCCGCGGTTTCCCATAGAAAAAAAAGGTCTTTCTTCACTGGCCTGGTGTAATTCGGAATTACACCGGATACTACAGAGCCAGTTGTGTAAACATAGACCTCTCACTGAAGACAGCTTCATATGCAAATAACAATTATTAACCCTTTGCTTCACACAAGCCCTATTTTGGACAAGCTCTACTTAGGTATTTTCTTTCAACAACCCATCTCCAGGATTTTTAAAAAATATATTTTTTCTAAGCACCAATTAATGTATACTGAATACCCACATATTCTCAAGCTACAAAAAAAAAAATAGATTATCTTCAGACAAAATGATTTTCTATCTTATTATTTATTCATTCTGGACACAGCGATTTATTAACTTGGATAAAGATACAATTACCTTACCAGGCATGGTGGCACATGCCTTTAATCCCAGAATTTGGGAGGCAGAGGCAAGCAAATCTCTGTGAGTTCAATACTGGACTGGCCCTGCATAGCGAGTTCCAGGCCAGCTGGGGCTACAAAATGAGACCTCATCGAGGAAGGGAGGGAGGGGGTGAGAGATCTTGGGAGGATACAATTTCTTCTGCCCTCCAGAATTCGTGCTTAATTCAAATTAAATATGTTGCAAGGTCGTTTCTCCTAAGAACAGAACTGGCCTTTTGTGTTGTGTTTTGCTTTTTGTTTTTAACTTTTTGGTTAGCTTACAAACACATGGGATTTGTGACATTTTCATATCTCATTATTTGTTCTTATTCACCCCTCCCCCTCGGGCTAGTCGGGTTCCTGCTCCCAATCATCCCCTCTCTTGCTTCCTGGTCCCTTAAGGTGTGGCTCCACTTTTGCCAGATTCAGAGACCAGCCGCCGTCTACTCTTGCCATAGCCTGTGAACTGCAGGCACTCTGCACATCTTTTCAAGGCACTGGAATTTATCAGATTTAAACTAGGGAGAGCTAACTTCCCCTCTAAGGTTTCCTGGAGACCTACACCGCACCCACTCCAGGCCTTGCCTCCGGACTTTGTCCCTCCCAGATTTCCCAGCCTGCGGGCAGTTGATCTGCACTGCAGCGGAGCCAATTGCAAAAACCCTGCAAAGCCCGGCCCCGCGGAAGGAATGGTTTCAGAGCTGTTTGTTTCTTTTTGATACTGGAGCTCTGGTTGTTCTGGCTTTTACTCCTGTGTGTGGCCAGACAACCCCAAAAGCAGTTTAGAGCGACGGGGACCAGAGGACGCAGGCAACCGAAAGGATGAGATGCCTCCTGGACTTGCTCCTCCTGCTGCCATTTCTAATCATCTTTTCCTTAGAGTCGTTCGTCAAGCTTTTTATTCCTAAGAAGAGAAAATCAGTCGCTGGAGAAATCGTCCTCATTACTGGAGCTGGACATGGAATTGGGAGGCTAACTGCTTTTGAATTTGCCAAACTTAAAACCAAACTGGTTCTCTGGGATATCAACAAGGTAATAAGCACTTGCTTGCTGCGTTTTCTTTCTGTGTCTTTACTCTGGGGACAGGTCTACAGTTCCCCAACAGCATCTTTGAAAAGAGAACAATTACTATTGTTTCAGCTTCAGTTTGAGGGGGGCATGAATTGGTATGTTTATCAGCACACGGTGAATGGACCTGGGGAGATAAGAGTCTCACTACATTCACTTCCTTCGTAAGTCAGTCCTGATAATCGTCTGTAATCTCCTCCCACGCAGACTTAATCTTTTAGAAAATGAAGTTTTAGGTAGGATGCAAAATAGTAAAGTGTAGCTACTAAGGCTCATTTTCAGTTCTGAGATGAGATGGTTTTAAAGAAAATACACACCCAACCCCCAAGAAATCACCATTAATCTGCCATAGTTATTGCCAAGAATAGTTTTTGAAATCCTCTTGTAGTAAAAATAATAAAAAGCAAAAGAACTTCAGTGTAATTCCTCCTCCTCCCCAGGACAGGTGTAGGTACTGACTTTGTTGGGGAAGTTAGAGAAACCCAGAAGCTAAGTTTTTATTTTACTTGTTTGCTAGTTTGTTTGGAGACTTATTTGACTTTTGATAGATGAATAAAGGGGGTTTTGAAGGGACCTGGAGGCCTGAAGTGATTATACCCTGGTGGATATTCAATCCTGTAAACAAGACAAGGCTCCTAAAACTGAATAAGACCTAGCCCAAAGAGCAGTTGACAGCAATCAACACATTCTTAATGGATACCACGTTATGGAATAGCTGGCAAACAGGAAATAGGGTCTCCTGTCCCTAAGCTAGTAGAGAAAACAGCTGTTAAACATTAGTACTTAATGCAATGAAAGATGCAAATTAGATCTACCTTCAGTCGTGGCCAAGGTTTGGCATGGCAGTGTGATCAAATTTACATGGACTCTTTGCTCCTTAATCAGGAAACTTGGCTTCCCAGTGCTTTAATTCCTTTTCTGCAAAATATGTAAAATAATAGTACATACCTCAAAAGTCCCGGAGGATGACATAAGTTGGTACATGAAATAATTTAGAGGATCTAGCTGATGATAAGCATACTTTTATTTTCTTTTTATTTTTTACTTTTTGGTCTTTTTGAAACAAGGTCTCCCTGTAGCCCCAGCTGTCCTGAACTCACTGTGTAGACCAGGCTGGCCTTGAACTCACCGAGATCCCCTGCCTCTTCCTCCCAAGTGCTGGGATTAAAGGCGTGCGCCACCACGCCCAGCCTACTTTTATTTTTTAATAAAGACTGAGTTAGGTTAATGACTCACAATGCCTAGCGCTGCGAGTGTACAAAATTTTCTCTGATTTAAAATGCATTTATTGAACAAATGAACACATCCTGTCCGCCAGTGTTCTAATGCAGAACTTTAGATACAGCAGTGAGGAAAACAACCTTCCTGATCTAAAGATAACAGGCACCTTCTAAACTGTAATATACATTGGATGGCATTGAGTATAAAGAGCTACAAAAACACAAAAGGAGCATGGGGCTGTGGGTGGGAAAAACTGGGTATTGATTCATAGATGGCCAGGCAAGTCTCAGTGTGGTGGAGGCAGGGAAAGCTGGGGAACTAGCTCAGTATAGAATACTTCCCTACCATGGGCAAGGCCCTGAGTTCAGACCCCAGCACCACACACAAAGATGGAGATGTGAACAGTGCTGTCTCTGTAGAGAGGACTTAACACATGTAAAGCACAGAGTAAAGGAAGAGAAGGAAGAGATCAGACTCAAGATCTGAGCTGGTAACAGAGCAAATAGGAGCTGTTCATCCCTCATGGATGTTCAGCTCTGGGTGGAACTAGCCCACTTGGTTTCAAGTATTTAGTACAGGGGTGGGGGGGGGGGGGGGGGGCAATGTAGAAGTTTGGGACTGAAGGACCCTTGGAGCTTGCTGCAACTGTGAGCCCAGGTTCAGTAAGAGACCCTGTTTTTAAAGTCAGTGGAGAGGGCTGGAGAGATGGCTCAGTGGTTAAGAGCACTTGCATAGGACCCGAGTTTGGTTCCCAGCACCCACATAGTGGCTAACAACCATCCATAACTCCATTTCCAGGGGATCTAAATCCATCTTCTGACCTCCATAGGTATTGCATAACATGGGTGCATTTACATGCAGGCAATACACATCTACACATAAAAATAAAAATAATAAAATATTTTTAATCAGTAAAATATTTTTTAATCAGTATGCACACTTGCTCACAATTGTGCATACATATGTGTACACAGAGGAATGTGTACACATACCTATGCCACATATATGAACACGTGCAGGTTCGTATACTGCAAACGCACACATACATATAAAAGACATAACTATCTGTGTTGGCTAAATTATGTGGTGCAATGGATTTAGAAATAATGCATCTAATTTCCTTTTGCTGTCTGTATTGCTACAATTTGTAAACTAATCTGGTGCTTTCTTTTACTACATTTATAAGAACAATTTCCTGCTTTGACCTTCAGGTTTGGTATGTTTTAGTACAAATATTCAATGAGAAATTCTTTCATTGAATGCACCTGAGAAACTGCTCAATTAAAATAGAATATTCTGCTAAGTTAAGTTTTATCTTTGTAACATGCTACTTGAAAAATTAAAGTGAGGTACATGGCTTACATTACATTTTTGGAGATTTTGGGTAGGAGCACAGCTTCTTTTTTAATTATTTTTAATTTTTGTGTATGAGTGCTTTGCCTACATGTATGTAAGTGTAACCTTGTCATGCCGTGCCTGCAGAGGCCAGAAGAGGGCATTGCATCTTTTGGAACTGGAGTTAAGCACAATTATTAGCCTCTGTGGGGAAACAAATCCTGGTCCTCTGCAAGAGCAGCTAGTGCTCTTAACTGCTGAGCCATCTCTCCAGCCCCCAGTTCAGTTTCTTAGAAACTGTTATATGTACTTTAGTTTTTGATCCTGGGAGGCACTGAATGGTTTGGAAATGATTTCTACTGAAGAAGATCCTCTGGCCATTGTTTGAGAAGAGAATGGAGAGGAGGGGTAGAAGGAGCAAGGGAGACAGGAAAGCCGTTAACACACTGGTAATCCTGGTAAGGGATAATATAATGGAGGCCTGACAATCAAGTTTGGTGGTTTCCAGGTTGTGGCCAAAGCATTAATGACAAGGTGCCGAGCTTCTTATTAGGTTAGATTGTAATTTAAATAATCCACCTTTTAACATTACATATTCCTACTTGATTTTTCAGCTTTTGGCATAATGTGTTCCTATCATTTATTTTATTCTCTTGCCTCCTTTGCAACATTTTCTAGCATGGCATTGAAGAAACAGCTGCTGCTTGCAGGAAACTGGGTGCCCAGGCTCATCCCTTTGTGGTGGACTGCAGCAAGCGAGAAGAGATTTACAGCACTGCAATGAAGGTGAGATTTTATATTTAGACTTGTGTCCTGTGGAAGTGAGGAAGAATTTTGGAGCTGATCAAATGTGCTCACTATACAAAGTAATTGTGAAACATTATAATTTTTTTTTTTTCTGAGACTATGTGGCTACTGGCAGACTCAGAATTATACTGTACAAATAAGAGGCTCAGACAACTGTGTGTTCCAGAACCTTCTAGGGAGTTTATTGAAAATATACCCTCTTGGGACTGCAGCGATGGCTCAGTGTGTAAGAGTGCTTGCTGCATAAGCATCAGGGCCTGAGTTTGGATCTCAACATCCATGTAAAAAAAAGAGCCAGACTTGGTCATGCACATGCCTGTAATCCCAGTGCTGATGTGGCAAAAACAGGAGGATTGTTGGGCCCTGCTGTCTGCCAGCCTAGCTCTAGGTTCAATGAAAAGACCCTGTCTCAAGGAAATAAGCCAGAGAGTGATAGAGCAGGACATACAGCATCCCCCTCTGTCTCCCTTTGTGCACACAGGCACATACATGTACATACACCACACATATACAATACATTCACACATACAACACTCTCATATGTGTGTGTATAAATACATACATATATATATATATATGTATATGTTCTGGAGTACTTGCTTATGAAGTACAAGACTTAGGTTTCAACCTCTAGTAGCACAAGAACCAATGTTTGTGTTTGTGTGCATGAGTGTATGTGTGTACATATACATACCTATGTATGCATTATAAACCTCACCTCCTGAGGTTTTCTTTTAGTAGGTATAGAGCAGGGTCTAGGAATCTCAACACTCTGACCAAAACCAACTTGGAGAGGAGAGGGTTTCTTTGTCTTACATGGCCCTATCACAGTTCTTCAGTGAGGGAAGCCAGGGCAGGAACCTCGAGGCAGAGGCTGAACCAGAGACCGTGAAGGAGTGCTGCTTGCTGGCTTGTTCCTCTGGCCTGTGCTCAGCTTGCTTTCTTATAACTTTTTATTATTATTATTTTTTTAATTTTATGTGGATGAGAGTTTTGCCTGCATGTACATATGTGTACCACATACATGCAATGCCTGTGGAGGTCAGAAGGCGTCAGATCTCCAGGAACTGAAGTTACAGACGGTTGTTAGCTGCTGATTTGGGTGCTGGGAACTGAACCTGTGTCCTCTGCAAGGGCAGCCAGTGCTCTTAACTGCTGGGCCATCTCTCTAACCCCTTAGCTTGCTTTCTTACACAATCTAGGACCACCTGCACAAAGGTGGCACCACCCACAGTGGGCTGGTTGCTCTCACAGCTCTCAACAACCAAGAAAATGCCTTACAGACATACCCAAAGGCCAGTGCTACAGAGAAAATTCCCCAGTTGAGGTTCCCTCTTAGGAGTGTCAAGTGGATAAGCTAAAACTATCCAGCAAGGTGTGAAATGGTGTTTTGCCCTGAACACATTCTCACTTGTACCAGTTAAATATTTTCATGGAGGGAAGGTCATCAGAATAACATGAGCAAAATTCTTTAAAATGCACATTTCTAGACCTCACTGATCGGTACAACAATTCAGATTCAACCAGGCCTGTGAGCCTCTTTGTTTAGGGGATTTTAGATGTGGTTTCATTTTAATTTCTATTATTAAACTTTAGGTTTTTTGGGTTTTTTTTGGTGTTTTTGTTGTTGTTTTGGTTTTGTTTTGGTTTTCTTTGGGGGCTGTTTGTTTGTAGACTCTGTCTCTCTATAGCCCCAGCTAGTCTGGAACTTGCTATGTAGACCAGACTGGTCTCAGTATCTCAGAGATCTTCCTGCCTCTGCCTCCCTAGTGGTGGGATTAAAGGTGTGTACCACCACACCTGACAAACATTAGTTTTTATTTCTAATACCTCCTTATTTTTAATGAGGTCTGAGCCAAGTAAAAGAATAAGTAGAAGTTACACAGTCCCTAGCTTTCTTGGGAGGGAGATACAGTACAGTAAAAGCAAGGCCTGTATCTAGGAAACACCAGCATTTAGCAGCAACTATTTTACTTAAATTAACAATGATTAGACTTCAAAGAAAATAATGATATTTAAAGCATGGAACTGGACTATCAGGTTCAAATTCTGCTCTTCCAGTTAATACTTGTTATATAACTTCTGGCAAATTTCTTAACCTCTCTGTGTCTACCAAGTTTACTCAACTATAGAGCATAGTACCTATGGGCTATTAGTGATGATCAAATGAATTGACAATAATGAACCATTTAGAATACAGTACCTGGTTCACAGTTATTTTGTGTTACTTGTTAATAATACAACTGGCAATATTAT